AATTTAATATAGATTTTTTTTTAAACTAAAGGAACAAATAACATATAGGCAAAGAGATTTTATCCGAGACTGTGGATATTATTGTTTCATCAGGTTAACGTTGTTCGACAATAGCTTGCCTCGTTTTAGAAATCGTTCGTACGTAGAGCATGCTCTTGCGTATCAAATCAAATGGGAGACATAAACTCCATATGCAGGTGATAACAGTATATTGCAAAATGCATAAGGGAAGTTGACCATAGAAAAGTTGAACTCATCACATCATAAAGTTTTATTGTGAGGTTACCATTATAACACCCCACTCTTTTTGTAACGATATATACGTTATTTAAGAAATAAAGTCCGCGTTATCGTGAATGTTGCAGGATAACCTCCGAGGTCTCGAAATGTTGTCTGAAATATAAAAGCCGAGGCGTAAGCCGAGGCTTTTATATTTCAGACAACATTTCGAGACCGAGGAGGTTATCCTGCATCATTCACGACAATAAGGACTTTATTTCTATTCTATAACAGCTCTAAAATACCGCTGATCGTTTCCTCTATAGAGAAACGAATTAGGTCACCATGTCGCGATTTCGCTATTCCATTTAACACCAGAGGATCAAATTGTTTGTTTACTTGTATCAATTGCATAAAATGCAGACGATTTCAGCTTTCATTGGATTAAAAATATCCTTTAAGTATTTATAAATTTGTTTGTAAGATGTATTGATTAATTTTTATAAATGTAAAATAACAAAATCAGTTGTCTATTTCATTGCTTTATCAGTAAAATCATGGAGTGTAACAGTTATGGGGGAGGTCCGTGGAACAGCCCCACTTGGCCATAAAAACGGATATTTATCAGCTGTTTCAGACAATACATGTACACGTTGTTTAGACTGTGTAAGACGACACATCGATATGGTCTAAATAAGTATTTGATTCTACAGTGAAATATTTATTTCAACTGTACAGGTTTGACATGTGTTTCTGATCTGATACTTTTTTGATGACGTTCGTGATTTATTGGAGAATAATGTCCGCGGCATTTCTTTGATCTCTTCAATAAATGTGGTAGAATTGTCTTTCAATGGAGTGTCACCTCAAATTTTTTTTCTGATATTTGGAAATCTGATTTTTTTCCTTCTATTGAGTAAAGGTAAACTCAGAAAAGTTTAAACTTCATGTCTCCAAATTTCAGGCACCAAGATCGTCGCCAAAGGGGTGTGTTGGGTGCAATCACAACCACCTTTTAAAATTATAATCAAAAATATAATGTTTAAAATGAAAAAAAAGAAATCATTATTCATCTGTTTAAAGTTATGATGCTTGATTTTGTTTATATATATTTCAAGAATGACTTCAGGAATGTGTGAGAACCCACTAAAATTGTACCAATTTATTTAAATCAACATTTTGCAAATTATATGGTCGATACAATGACCTTGTTTGCAAGTACAAGCTGTCGCTACGTCGAATGACTCTTTTATACAAATTGCTAGGCCATTATTTTCCCACTGAATTGTCCTTGGGGTTTTCCGTTTCCCGACAATAACAAGTTTTTACTGGTACAAAGTATGCTAGCTACTCCACTGCACCTGACCCCTTATCTTATAATTTAAGAGGTTCGTGTTTGATCTGCTCACAATTAATTGTATTGTTTCAATGAATTTTTCAGTTAGATTACAGTTCCAAATCTATTGATAATTTGTAATTACAAACTAGGTTTGGGTCGTAGTTTCTCTGGCATTTTTGATACCATTCGGTAGGTCATTGGTTTCATTCTTGATTTGACTACGGGGTACCTGATCAATTTATAGGGCTCATGGCGCGTGTGACCAGTCAACAGGGTATGCTTACTCCTCTTATGCACCTGATCCCAACTCTGGTGATTAAAGTCAGTGTTTTTGCCCTGTTTACGATTCGTTTTGTTTACTGGATTTATGAGATTAATCACTGTTCGTTATCTTCACATTTTGACAAGTATAACTTCGCTAGTCATAAAATTTATTCATTATCATTTAATATTCTATTATTTTAAAAGTGTTAAAAGATCTAGACAATTTCCCTTCACATTTCACTTCAAGGTATACTAAATTTAAGTGTAATGTCAACTGGATTGAAACAAATTATTCTAATATAAAAAGAAAATAGGAAAATCAGACTAGTATGGAAAAAATCAAGGAAATAAAAATCAAATTAGGAATGACCGGAAGGAAATGTGACGATTGAATCTATTTTAAAAAATTAAGAGGTGATTTTAAAAAAAATCAATAATCTATACAACATCTAAAAACGTATTTTCATCTGTTTGACATTTGATGTTCAGAGAAGTAACATTAATTGTTTGTTTAACAGAAAGAAAATGAGTGTTAATATATAATCATTTTAATCACGTAAGTTTTTAAATCCTTACTGAATTCTAGTCAGCAACATCACTCCAAGACCTATTTTGTAACAAAAATGTACGAAAGCCCAGAAGGCTCATTCGAGATTCGAGTTTCAAAATACGAGATTCGAAATTCGAGATTCGAGATTCAAGATCCAAAATAACCAATCAAAAGGCGGATTCAATATTTGATTACTCCCCTTTATTAAGTTTTTACTATCAAGAAATCACTGAATATATTGATAACAAATGGGTCATATGCATAATTAATAATGCAAGAAAAAATGTTATATGTATCAAAACAAAATACAAATGAATTTTGGGTAACGTTTTGTAAAATATGTATAAAATCTTATTTTCCTCATTAAACAAAACAATAGATAACATATAAAGAATATTGTATAGTCATATCGTTGACTTGCGAAATTAGATTGCATGTCGATAAATTATTTAATATGAACATTGATGAGGGAGGAACATATTATTGATATGAATTGCTGAGGATCGTCTTTACACTGCACAGAAATTTAATTAAGGATACATTTCATTACATGTAAGGGTGAATTTGTACAGTTAGACTGATCAACTATTTGATATGGAATAAAATAAATTCCAGTCTGTATTGTTTATATGATTTTTAAATTAATTCAAGTATTCAAAGCCTTAATTGAAAACTCAGTATTTATGTATTTCTCATATTGGGAAACAGTGGCGTATATTCCCTTTGGCTAATGTGTAAACTAATGTGAGGTCACAGATTTCACCTAAAGCGCATTACTGCCGAATTGCGGATAGGCAAGGAGGGAGTCGCCCCCTCTCAATAGAAGGGGGTCGGGGGTCGGAGGCTCACTTTCTGCGATCTTGGAGACATCTATCAGTGTCATTTTTCCAGTGAATATAATTATAAATCATTTAAACATATTTTTCTGATACAGAAATTAAAATCTTCATGACCACTTGTAATAAAATTGAGAAATTTTAAAATCCTTACACAGTGCATGGAAATTATGGAAACTTCTTTACTGAATAATCTAAATATAATTTTTAAAATGTTTTATGTTTGACTCCCTACTAAACCAAACATATTAGTAGACTCCTGTTGATGTCATTTTTAATAGTCTGATGTCGACTTCAGGGTAACATTTCAATTTTAGATTTAACCAGCTATAAAAATCAAAAGTTTTGTATACTGTAAAAATTGGATAGGCATAAAAGTGTGGATTGCTAAAAATACTTTTATTGCATTTAATGAAAATATATTCTAGTAACTGGTAAATGAATAAGATTTATGGTCAACTTTCCCCCATTTTTCAATCAAATACATGCATATTTTTTTTTTTTTTTTTTTTTTTTTTTTTTTTTTTTGCATCAAGAAAATGAAGTGTAGGCTACATCCTTTTTGCCTATATGGAATATACACCATTGGGAAAGCGAACGCGATTTTTCTTTATCACTACTACGATGTCTTTCAAGATTTTCTGTGTACACTAAAAAGGCATACATGAACTAAGTAATTTTAATACATGTACGTACTCATTTAGGCTATACGATTTTTTCAAAGTCCTTAAGGTGTATAGAGGGTGCATTTTTTTGTTAAAATATTTTTTTTAATCATTATTAAATACTTTCATATCTTTTTTTCTCTATGGCCATTACATCATGTATTGAAACTTGTGTATTGATTGGTTATGTATCTTGCGAGACCCGAGCGGTTTCCTTATCAATAATTATCGAATATATAATTATTTTGCCCATGCATAGCAAGATTGACACTGAATATTGATAACCGAACATTTGTCTACCGTTGTAATAAAATAAACAACATAGCCATAGGACCCTGGGCACGTCCCCCTCCCCCCCCCCCCCCCCACATTCCCCTTATATTTTTTACCGATATAATTTACTATAGAAAACATAGCAACTTTGTCCTTTTGTCCTTTTAAAAATAACGTCTAATAACCGTGATAACCCCTTGGTTTTTTTTTTTTTGGGGGGGGGGGCTTTACAGTTTTTTTTATTTTATTATTTCCTATGGGCCTGAACAAAGAGAAATCATAATTTTTTTAAGCATGTATATTTCAGCCATCCATACATGTACTTATGGAGCTGTCTCTTGGTTTCACAAACTTGGTCACTGGTCACGTTCTTACACCTTTGTCACAAACTATATCCACTTTGAAACCCGTATTACTAATTATCATTAATCGCTAGTCACTTGTTTTATTGCACACTTGAAACCCGTATTAGTCACTGGTCACTTTCTAATACCTTGTTACACTCTTTCTTGCATTGTAATATAATCAAATGACCTCTTCGGTTTGAATATATTCAATGATTTCTTGAAGGTCAAAACTTAGCAAAGGGGAGTAATTGAATCTTAAACCGTCTTTTGGTTGGTTAGTTTGGATCTTGAATCTCGAAACTCGAATTTCGAATCTCGAATCTCGTATTTCGAATCTCGAATGAGCCTTCTGGGCTTTCGTAAAAATGAGAGCCCGGCGATATATATTTTTTTTTGGACTATGCATTTTACTGGGAGAGAAATGTCTTGATACCATGCGCAACTAATTTTAAAAACTGCTTTCAACCAGGAAGATCGTATTGAGGCCAAATATCCAGGCATTTAGAAATGGATAATGGTACGTTCATATCTGAGAAATTGGACACTTGGAATAATTTGTTAGCAAAAGGTTTAATTCCGAACAACGTGCTTTTGTCTTTGTATATTTTAGCAGGTCTTGTGGGAAATTTAACTGTTATCCTAATTTATGGTGTTAAAATGAAGGACAACAAAGAAGAGAGGTATTTTATTCCATATCTTGCTACAGCGGATCTGTGTGCCTCTTTCGTCTGTGCTTCATATGGAATCGCTCTTAACTTAATGCAAGCCAATTTTAATAACACATACCTTTGTAAGACATGGTGGTTCTTAGCAGCATTTACAACATTTACTTCTATTTTGATTCTCTTGATAATTGCTGTACATAGATACCGCAAGATTTGTAAACCTCTTGGAAAACAAATGACAATGAAATGGAAGAGAATTGCTCTGTTTGTAGGGCTTGTAATAGCATTTCTTTTAGCTATACCTACGACTCATTTTTATGGTTCAGTTCCATTTTCAAATGATGAAGAAGGGATCATTGGGCTACGATGGAGCAGATTGAAGACCGTCAGCAAAACAGGGTCCCTGATCTTCGGAGGCGTCCTTCTTCTAACTGCAATTGCAATAATTATTGCACTTATTTGTCTTTATGCCAAAATAGGATATACTATTCTCAGGCATTTCACATTTATGAATACCATATGCAAGAAAAAAGCCTTCTCGGACTCGGAACAACCCAAGAACATAGAAGAATCTCATGCCAGTGATGATCCAATTAGTTGCACAGAAAATGAGACCTATTCTATTGAGACAGACAACACAATATTATCCGGTGTATGTTCTCAAACTTCCTTTGAGACAAAAGAAACGAGTTTTACAACAGATTTCACACTTAACAGGAAATCAAATCCCCATAAGTCAAGTGTAAGGCAACGGAAAGAGAAAGATAATCGGAGAGTTGTACACAAATTTACCCTTATGTTTATGCTCATAACCGTCATTTTTCTAATCTGTCATATCCCAAAACTTATTATTATGTTAATGGAAGCAAGAAATCCAAACTTTTGGGAGCAATTTTCAGATTCTTTAAGAGCTGGTGTCTTGTTTGTGTATCGGATGTATATAATCAACAATATCACAATTCCATTTATTTACGCATTCCTAGACAGTATGTTTGCAAAAGAAATCAAGAAATTGTTTAAAATTTGCCGATGAGGGAGAATATCAAAACACATGGTTACTTTTTAGTATGAACAATTCTTTTTTATGTGAAAGTCCAGGCCTCAGGATCAAAATTTCAGTTACTCATAAAATGGATATTTATTTTTACTAAAATTGAAAAATCAAAATTAAAATCTTGAAACTATTTTTCACATTTCAAATTTTATATTTTATATTCTCTATAGCAAAACTCAATGTACGAATTCTGACTTAAGTCTCAAACTGCTTCCGGATCCTTAAACAAGATCGATGGTTAAAAATTGGGACAGGAGGGAAGCTCTACGTCTGTCGAACCAACCATATAGAGCATTTGCAAACCCCCCACCCCCCAGAGCAAAAAAAAACGTTTTCCCTTAAAAAATGATAAAACTTGTTTTTGCTTCAGAAAGAAATGCATAATTTAGAAGTTGAAAGCATATTTAACAATGTTTGAACATCTGTACATGACTTGAAAGCTTTCGATAAAAATTTCATATCTTTCAGATCTGTTTCCTTATTGCTGTATCCATAATAGTTAAACTTCAATTATTATACAACAGATTCTATAGAATATTTATTAGTTATCCTGCTTATAGTCTTTGTAGTTAGGTTTTGCCATGGAAAAAAACGCAGATAATAATAACGATATGTACAAGGTAAAGGAAATTTTATCATATTATGTTTATGACTGAGATTGATTTGAATCTGTGCAAACGTACAGACATGATACTGAAATAAAAGTTTTAAATCACTGTATCTTATTTTATCAATTAAAACATTACATTTTGTAGATATATTATCACTTTTTGAGATTTGTCAAGATTATCCATAGCTACTGAGCATACCCATCCGGTTTTGAAATTTTTAAATCATATTAATTGTTGAATTTCAAGAGGCCTATGCTTTTATGCCCATTTCACAGATTTGTGTTGTTGGAGGTCTTTTGAGATGGTCACTGTTTGTTATCTTCACCTATTTCATTGATAAGGATTTTAATTCTTAAAGGATAAGCCTAAAGCATTTCATATAAAGATCATATAATTTTCTCTTTTTCTTAAAGTTGTTTAACTTAAAGAAAAATAGCTATACAGGAAACAAATAGAGTCTAACAAGCGTTATGCATGCATTTATCAGAAGAAAAAAAATGGTACATAAACGCTAACTTTCCATTAGAATTTTTTTTCGTATAAGCAGCTATGGTTGACATTGGCATAAATACAAGCATAAAAGTTTCCTGAATGAAAAAGGTGAAGATAACGAATATTTATTATATACCCAACTGTTTGTCACTCAGTTTTACTGTTGAATTTATGCAATCATGTGACGGTGTGATCCGACTGTGGTTTTCTGAATCCATATCACCCCTCTCTGAAACTGATGACGTTTTTATTCTCGAGTATCAAAAAGTTCCTTTACAAAATGGATTGTTTAATGGATAAAAGTTATGTAATTGATCCAAAAAGCTTCCTTTTATTATATTTTGCTAGTTGGAAAGGGGTATTTAATAAATTTATCATTATAACAGTAACTTGATCCGAAAAGTCGTATCACGTCTCGTTGACAGGCGCGGATCATCAGATCAAACGAGACGCGAAGATCTAAAAAAAAAATCCACAGACAATACAAATGCTGTGAAGTTGGCATAAAACACGGACCCCCAAAATTCCAGAGTTGGAATCAGGTGCCTAGGAGGAATAAGCATTCCCTGTTGACAGATCACACCCGCCATGAGCACTATGTATTGATCAGGTAGACGGAATATTCCGTAGTCTAATTCATTAAAAAAAACAAAGGCCTAAGAATTGGTATGAAACACGTCAGGCAAAATACGACTCACTGATAGGTAACATCTGCTAACAAGGTCATTATAACGACCATAGAATTTACGAAATGCTGACTTTAAACGAGGTTGTTGAAATTCCCGTAACATCAACTTATCTGTCAGTAACATGCCTCATTTTAAAAATTGATCGCACTCGAAGCATGCTCTTAAGTATAGAATAAGTTGGAAGATGTAAACACCATATGCAGGTGATAGGTGATACAGGTGATACTACATAAATAAAAGACAGAAAGGCTGAAGTCCTCCTGCCTGTCATACAATTTAGTTATTATAGTCATCTATAGTCAGTTGAACATCCAAATATGCAACAGATGTGGCAGACTCTGTGGTGTCTTTAATTTCAAGTTCACTGGGATATATCGAGTCGACATGCATGTTTGACTGGAGGTCGACATATGACTGTTAATTGATAATACGTCGTCGATATATCTAAATGTCGAGTTGAAAACCACAGCAAGTGGGTTTTTTCTTAAGCTTTTAAATATAGTCTGCGTTATAGTAATATAAAAAAAGATCGGCTAATAAAGGATCACAATCAATGCCTATCGAATTTCCAACAGTTTGTTGGAAGACAGTCTCCGAAGACTCCATAACTGTTGTCAATGAGGAACTCCAGCATCCTTTTAATATCAACCTCAGAGTACTTGTGTGTAGAATCAGAGTGATATTTAACAATTTTTTATGACTAATCACAAAATAAGAAAAATTCCGACTTCTATTTTTATTGAAGAAGCAGTTGTCTATGATATCAAAAAGCCTTATTTTTAATTTATCGTAAGGAATGGTTGTAAAAGTGTAGAAAAGTTGTACGTTTTGATGTTACTGACATTTGAAAAATTTAGCGATTTTAAATTTCTTAAAAGTTCTTTGGAGTTTTTGAAAACCGATTAATGATTGATTACTACTGTAACAATAATCTGATGTATATATTCAAAGACATATCTAAAAATAAAAATAATAAAAAAATGATTGTCAGGTTAGATTGAGCCAAACATTTGGACGTAAACATTTGACGTTTTACTAACCAATCCAAATTTCACACATCTGAGATAATTTGAAAATTAAATATAAACGATCAAAAAGACGGAAGGATGGGGAGTAACACTTGGCCGCCTATTCAAAGAGAAACAGTGTTCATAAAATTCCACAGATGAAAACCCAAAATAAATTCTGGGAAATTTAAATAATGAAATGCTTTCTTTGGTTTTTAGTACGGGAATTAACGTCGCAGCTGTTGCAGAAAAAATAAATAACCCGCGTAAGCGGGTTATGTAAATTTTTTCTGCAATTAGCCCCTTCACGATAACTGCGGTACTACTCTTTTGCAGGGCAAATTAATAACATTTGGCGAAGTTTTTGTTGACAGATAATTAAATGACGTGTATTAAACAATTGCTTTTACGTCATATTTCACCAAAACAAATCATTTTGCCCTGCAAAAGAGCAGTGCCGCAGTTATCGTGAAACAGTCTATAGCTGCGACGTTAATTCCCGTACTAACCAAAGAAAGACATTTTATTGTTTATATTTATATCTGTATAAATAACCATATAAAGTAAGATTAAAAGGATTAACTAGTTATAATTGTAACGGGGACCGTTACAGATGTTCCCCAAACGCTCCCCAACTCCCTTTTGGTGACTTTTTTCCTGTAAGCTTCTTTAAACAAGGCAATGAAGTATATTGGTCATTTTTTGCATTTCACGCGCGCGCACGTGCATGCATGTGCAGGATGACCAAGTCATCCCGTCTATACTATATATGCATCTTTATATTCTCAGTATCAAAACATTTCATCAAAAAATATATAAGTTCCGGCTAAATCAAGCATATTGGTCATCTTAGCATTGCGCGCACGCGCACATGCATGCATGTTCATAATGACCATGCCATTTTGTGTACACTTATAATATGTCTGTTAATTCATAGTATCAAAGCTTTTCATCAAAAAATATAAAAGTTACGGGTATATTAAGTATATTGGTCATTTAACACATTGCACGCGCGCGCATGTGCATGCATGTGCATCATGGCCAAATCATCTTGTCTACACTTTTAATATATATATATATTCTTAATATCAAAGCTTTTCATCAAAAAATATAAAAATTACGGCTATATTAATTATATTAGTCATTTAACACATTGCACGCGCGCGCACGTGCATGCATATGAATGCATGTGCATGATGACCATGTCATCTTGTCTACTCTTTCTATATATATAAATATTTTGAGTATCAAAGCATTTCATCAAAAAGTATAAAAGTTACGATATTATCAAGTAAATTGGTCATTTTACGCTTTGCGCGTGCGCGCACGCGCATGCATGTGCATGTTGACCATGTCATCTTGTTCACACTTATATATATATCCTTATATTCTGAGTATCAAAGCATTTCACCAAAAAATATAAAAATTACAGCTATATCAAGTATATTGGTCATTTTATCCATTGCACGCGCACGCACGTGCATGCACGTGCGCGCAAAATGACCTTTGTTCCGCAAATCTACATAACATGCCTATTAACCCTAAAAAGGTTTTAACTCAATTGGATGAGCAGTTTCCGAGAACACTCGCGGACAAAAAAGTACCGGAGAAGAAATAAGAAGAAAAAAGAATAACTAGAGCAAAGCTCGTTGCAAAGCAACGAGTGGGTCTTCCTTCTTAGCGATTAGCTTGTAAGTTGACGTCGTAATAAATGGATAAATATTTGTTTAATTTCCACCTAAAGGTTACATGTTTCTGTTTAGATTGTCAACTTTGCTAACATTCTCTTTCTTCTTTGACCCAAATATCAAGAGACCTCATCTCCGGAACTCTGAATCTGGAGTGACCATGAGGATATATAATTCAACTGTACTCTCTCCAACAGTACTCTTGAAATTGTATCCAAAACACTAATACTCCCAGACCCTCATTTCTTGAACTTTGACTTTTAATTTCTAGACTTTTCTATTCATCTAACATCTTTGATGCAATCATGTTAGTAACACGTGCCATACTACAGAATCATCAGTGTTTTGCTACATCACTGTCATAATAATTGCTTGACAAAACATTTACACAGCATAACTACATAGTAAGTAATCCAAATGTGTTACTAATTGAGGATATCCATTGTTTGACAATCAGTAAGAAGAAAAATACTCTTACAAGAAATGCACAGG